TTAACATTTGGACGAGCACTTTAATGCAGTACCTGCTATATTCAAAGCCTACAAACTCTCCTAACTCTGTTAAACAATAAATAAAAACAAAACTGTATTTTCACACATTATATTTTAAAAAGAGAGTGTGTCAACAGTGTTCACTGAGGGAGGGATATACTCACAGGTATTTCTTGTTTTCGTAGACGTCGTGCAGCTTTAAAACGTGAGGATGCTCTATGAGTTTGAGAATAGCTATCTCCCGCTCCACCTGAAGACAAACACAAGAAAAAGATTCAAAAAGATGGAAGCAGACAGCCCGATGTTCTGAATAACAACACTCATAATGAGGGCTCTCACACTTTCAGCTTGTACATTTGTCTAACTTTAAAAGCTGACGCGATACCACAGAGGTGACCGTTAACGTGCCCGAGGCGGCCACACAAACAGACACACTTCTGCGACGGCTGCGATAAACAACGCCTGCACATCTCAGACACTTGAGGATGTTTCTATATATTTATTTTGAACCGTCAGAGCAGGGATTACTCATCCTGCTACAGATCAGTGTGCGATTACACATCTGAACAGCAAAACGCTCGATGACTCATTTCAGTTTTTGAGTCTCCTGATTTGAAGAGATGGACGAATGTTCGGACAAAAACATGTTTTCGTGTTAGATGAAGGATTCCAGCATTTGACCGATTCACAGGAAGTGATGAAGCAGTCTGAATGCAGAATCAACCGGCTGCCTCATTTCAAATATGCACACACATCGCTATGAATGTATCTACATTTCATTCTGTTTGAGTGATATTTCATTATCTAAAAAAACAAGCCCCACCAAAAAACCTGCAAAACACATGTCGCAGAAGAGTACATAACAGCAGATTATATGAGAGGAGCTTTAAATGATTGTTGCCAGCAGGTGAGTGTCATGAAATGATACAGTAGTTGCACAGATGTTGCCCAAAGCTGTTTCAGTGCTAACCTGCCTGCTGTGCTCAGGATTTACTGCCAGTTGGCACCTCAGCAGGCCAGAGGGTAAACAGAGTTTAGACCTCTGTGCTGCACAAAGTAAAGTACAGCACTATTTCCTCTGTGGACACCCACAGTCTGATATCTTATTAAGCATCTCGGAGGCATTTATGTCTGCAGCTCTAATGTAAATCCTGTGGACAGATCGCTAAACGGGGAACAAGAGCGATGTCGAGTCAGACAATCCAGGCTGAAAGCTTATCACACAGGACGGAAACCACCAGAGGGCGATGAATGCTGAATCCACAGGGGGACAAAGGAATCACAATCTCTCATTTTTAATGGTAGTTTGATTTATTGCAGTTTTAGACAGAAGATCCAAATCCAGTTTATTTATATGGCACGTTTAAAAACAAAAGGTTTGCCCAAAGGGCTGTACAGAAACA